CCTCCTTCTCCCCTCCTCCCCTATCTCCCCCCATGCATCGATCGCTTTGCTCCCGGCGTGCGTTCTCCGGTTTCCCCGCACGACGATACGATGGCAAAGGAAGCGATGCGACGCGATGCATGTTAATGAGATATTATTGGTCGTCGTCATCGTCGTTGTCGTCATCGTCATCGTCATCGTCATCGTCATCGTCGTCATCCTCATCGTCATTGTCGTCGTGGTCATCGTCGTGGTCATCGTCATCGTCGTCGTCATCGTCGTCGTCGCCGCTGCTGCTGCACGAGAGATGAGACCCTGACAGGCGGGGTTCTTATAGCGACCACCGACCCCGCGTCGTCGTCGGCAACGCGCGACACGCATGATGAGGTCGCGAGCTAGTTGTCGCTCGGTGCGTCGCGGTGACCTGACGAGCGACATGGCGACGGAGGGTGAGATGCCAATGAGCGAAAATGATTGGCTGCGTTGCAAGCATTGATCGCAGGACGAGAGCGAGAACGCGTGAACGCAAAAAATAGCGTTCGCAGCGGCGAAGGTTGGTAGGTCATACAGCGTCAGTAGTTTTTTGTGACTTCCTTCCATTACTCCTTATCTTCTTGCTTCCCCCCTTCTTCCCTCCCACTCCCTCCGTCCGTCCATCCCGGTGATTGTTTTCCTCCCTACTTACCTTTCTCTCTTTCTTCCTGCCTCCCTCCCTCCCTCCTTCCCTTCCTGCTTCCCTCCTCCGTCCGTCCGTCCGTTCGTGCGTCCATCTCAGTCTCTGTCGCTCCCTCCGACCCTTTCTCACTCATTCCCACCCTCCCTCACTCACCCCTTCCCTCCGTCCCTCCCTCCATCGTTCAGTCATTCCATCGCGTCATAAACAAACAATCCCCCACGCGCAGCCGAATGACAAAGGCTCTGCCTCCCCCTCGCCGTCCGTTGTCCTCATCCTCCTCCGCGCGCGCACACAAGCTCACAATCTCAATGAAGCCATCGCTCACTGTTTCGACAGGCATCGCGATAGAACAGCGTCGGTTACGGCAGCAGCGGCGGCGGCGGTGGCGATAGGCGGCGGTGACAGCGGGGGAGGGTAGTGGAGGGCGGGAGACGCCTGTCACATGCACCGATGACTGATGATGATGTGTGCGGGGAAAGCAGTCGACTAAAGTAGGGAACCTCCTCCTGCGACACACGTACGCATACACATACGCGCACACACGCTCACATACTCTTGTCACATACCCATGCGCTGACGCACCCACGCACGCAGGTACACACGCGTACACACACGCAAGCACTCACGCGCATAAGCGCGCGTATACGCGCGCGCACACACAAACACACACACAC